ACCCACATCTCATTCTTTGGTGGGATTTTCGATGAGGTAAAGTTACATTCAATGTATCAATTGATTACATTATTTACTTTTTGTTTGTAATTTGATATTAAATAATACCGATAAATAGCATACATGTGAGATGCGTTCAACTACCAGTCCTTCATAATCTTAAACGAAATAGGATTGAATACATTTCATAATTATGCAAAGAAAAGTTGGGTTTCGAGGACACTCTTGTTTCATAATTGTTAAACTTACTTCCATTTCGAGTGAAAGTGTTGCGTGAAGAGATTCGAAGCTCGGTTCCGCTTGACCAGCTGTCGATTGGCTTGACTGGATCATGCATGTTGACGCTGTTTCCGAGGCAATCTCATTCGATTCCGGTGAAAAGGTGCTAAGCTTTCGTCCGTCCCCCAACACTTTCGCTCGAAATGGAAGTGAGCTCAACATTTCATACACTTTTAATTCCAGTCAGAGGCTTGCCAATATCATTCGCATTCGGTGTGCCCGTGCCAGAACAGACCTTTCTGAGCATCTGTTCATGCCTCCCGTGTTGCTAACTCGGCGTCCGTTGTGCAAGTAGTAACGAGGACATCGACCATCTGACTTTCGAGTGATAAGCACGAATCAGCAAAAAATGTATGCAAAAGACAAAGCACTCTTGTTTCAAGCTAGTCCTGTCTGGTGCTATCACGTTCTGTCGACGAATGCCGAGTCTCAAACTATTCGAAAACACTCCAGCCCCTTATCCCGCCCACCCAGCCAATTGGCAGGCCAACAATCGGCCCGGCAACAGACCAACACAACGGCGCACCGACAAGCGGACCAACACAGAGTCACTCAACCCTATCAACTGATAAACTGGGTGGCAATATGGTCTGGCAACAGCGGGCCAACAACTAATCCATCCTTTCCACACTCTTGCTTAAAGTATGCACTCTCACATTCAGGATATGTGATACCGGACCTGAAATCGGGGAGGGGGAGGGGGAAGTATTCGCCGAAAAGCCCGACAAAGAGGGCCCTCGATTCGTACCATCCGACCATGCCTCCCTTCAATTTGTGTATATGCTTTAAGGAGTTGGAGTTGGATGAAAATTTGCCCAACAAGTGGGTCGTAGAGTCTGGTTATTTCCGAATTGGAGGAAACAAAGAGGGACGATGGCCAATGATTAGCGTCTAGTTTCCACAAAACATAGGTTTTGTTATAAGAACTGTTCTCATTCTGTTTCGCTCAAAGTAATGAAGGACTGGCAGTTGAATTTTCCCACAATCATGCTCCCGACAGTACTCGTGGCAGTCTGGCGTGATGGCATAATGACGTGTCGAGATGAAGCGCTGCATTAAGACAACTTAAGTTCGAGTCCCGCTAGGGGTGCTGATGAGGGTTAGAGGCGGGGTTGAAAGTGCAGTCTAGTCCAGCCGGGTGGAAGATAGATTCTGTTAAATGCAACGAAACACGAGATCTACTTATGCTAGTGTGGGAAATTTCAACTGCCAGTCAGACGAGTAGAGCTTATGATTAAAAATGAATGGAACTCGTCGACGAATATCAACGAGATTTGAGTTTGGGGCTTACAACGTTACATTCTCAACAGGTTTCACTAGCTCCATTGCCACTGGTGCCAGTGGATGAAGGGAAGGAGGTGAATAAGAGCTTTCTCAACTTTTTTAAAATTTAAACGTGAATATAAAGACCAAGATATGGTGACCCTTCTTTTGGTAGCAATCTCAGAACCTATTTATATCGAAAATGAAATTTAACGTTATCATGAATTGGGATAGTCATATTAATATTGTAACATTGTTTCCTTATGCTATACGATGTAGAATGAGATATATTCTCTTAACCGATTCATAACAGTAATGCAAATTAATGTCATCGTGAGTAGGGCTACTGATGCTTTAGTGAATGTTCATCTCCCGGCTGATCCTTGCGAAGGTTGACAATTTTCTAAATATACTTTGCGAATATTCGCGGAACTTAATTATAACAAAATTGAAAGTTAATTTCATCACAATTTGTTTTGCCCATATGAAATTTAATGGAAACGTCAGCTCAACTCATATCATTGTGGGAAAATTCTTCTTCTACCAGTCCATCTTCACCTTAAACGAAATTGGGTGAATACATCTCATACTACTGGTAGCCACGAGAACAATACCTTATTCGAAAAATAAAATTATTTCTCTATGCTATACGATA